CAACCTACCCACGAGACAGGTGCTGCGGCTCTCGTCAGATGGAAACCCGACCTTACTTGCATTTCAAGTATACAGGGTAGAACAAGCGGAAGGTGTTACGATGCCGCAAAAGGCACTGGGTACCCATATGAAGGTAGAATTCAGCAAAGCGTACCCTTTGCCTCTCGGGAGCGCCGTTTAGAAATGTTGAAACCATCGTTCTGCGGGAGCAGCGCCGACATATCTTGTTGACAAGCTTGTCGACTTTAACTACGGAGGTAGACACATGCTACAGGGGCGCTGTGGTTTGTCATTCTGCACACCGCTTCACTTTACAATGGATTGCATTCAAGCAGATGGCATATTATGCACGCTGGATTAACCGTTACGAGTAGTGCACGTACCCCCTTCTCAGGGTACACTGCGGCAGAACCACCGGAACATGGCACCGAGCATGACTTCACAACTTTACCCGCGGGTATGCATATATTCCAAACATCATGAACCGTTTTCCGCACCCGTACAGAGCAAGCCATGGCAGGAGTGGTCGGTGCAGCAAACGGCTGCTGTTACCAAATAAGCTCGCATAGAGTACAGGAGTCGATGCTAACGGATTCTGAAGACAGCACTAAACGTGGGCACACTGTACAGAGAACACAACGCTCTATCGAGTTATTCGCAACAGCTGTCCAAGCAGCGCTGCTATATATTTCTCTTGAGCAAGGTAGAGATGATCATCGGCAGGCCGAACCTTAAGTCAATATGCTAGAACCTGCAGCGTATTGTTCATCCAGCGTGTCACATCCACCAACGCCCTCCCTTGATTGACTACATGGCAATGCAATAGCTGCAAACAAGAAGCGGGCGAATTCGGCGGGGACACATCTCAACGAGCTAGCTCTTCTTGCCAGAAAGAAGTGAGATAACCTCTTTCGTCGCATGGACAGCTAAACGGTGTGAGCGGCTTGAACGCTGGCACACCATCGAGAGTCCCGCATCTCTAAAGCATTTGCGGATTCCCTTCAGTTTACAAGGCACAAGATATGAATCATGCGCTCTTGAAGGATTCCGTTTGTATATATGAAGCAACGGAAAGGAAAAGGAATACGTGGCAGGCGCAGCAGAGCAGCGGCAGCAGTGAAAATTTGGATCACTGTCCAAACTACTGGTGCAGACAGCCAGATTGAATGGTGAAAATCGCCCACTGTACACAAACGGAACACAATGGCTTGAGTGGCCCAGCAGCCAGGTCAGACTAGAAAACAAGACGTGAAAACAGGAGTCAAATGCTATGCTTCAAAAAGTCAACACTTCTACAGGTTAGATAAAGTAATACAGATACGCATACAAACCCTACCGACTGGTGGACTTCTTGACACTAAAATTTGGAATATACGTTTACTTAGCGCGTACAACAGATGCAAGCCAGGATAGAGTTTACCACTGGCTGAGGAGGAGCAAAGCCGTAGAAGCTGATGGGCGCCGAAAGCAGCCTTCAGAACCTTAGCTCTCAGAATGCCATAGTAGGCTCTTAGTCCAGCTGCGTACTCGGTCGCAATGCAACAAAATCGAGTTACTGTCCAACGAAGACACAAATCGGAATGCTCGGAATGCTAGTCGAGGAGCTCGTCCACACTACGCACCTGAAGATTCGATATCTACTGCTAGCGCTGGTGTTCTGAACTACCTTGTCTTCTAATGACAAGCACCGGTATGCACAGCGAATACCCCACTACGTTTGCCATCCATTTGGGAAAGAATTTCGCTATAGGGCCACCGACAGTTAGCCAGTTAGCAACGCGTTCCCAGAACAAACCGCGGAGCTTGATTACCTGTGAAATGGCTGTCTATGACCGGGGTCTTCATAAAGTATGTAATAAAGTACATTTTAAGTAAACCAACAGGACAGAGCATCTGAAGGTGTGAAAAAGCGATTCTCCCAAAACACTGGAATTCCAAAGGCTGACAGAGAACACAGCACGTGCCACGCCAAAACACAACCAAACCCATCACACATAGTCGTCATATATTGTATAGTGTCGTACCCCAGCTACCCTCACACAAACACACGCATCCTCGGCAGGTCGCCTAAGCCCGCTATTTAGTAGAACACTCACAAACTAGCAAATTTTAAACACCTGCCCATGTCTCCAATTTGTGCTCCGTCAGACGAACACACACTTGAAGATATCCTTTCCTATTCCTTCATCGTCAAAACACACCTTCTTCCACTTAGCACAGACGTTAAACACCTCCAACCAACCCTCGCCCCCCGTCTCACCGGATCCCTTGCTCCACGTACCACATGCATCACTCAGCCACCCCACTGCTCCGCGCATGCTGCCTGCTCCCCTTCCACAAGAACAAACACCAACATCCACCCTCTAACCTTCACCTCCAATCCGCATACTCCTCACATCAACCAACAGAACACGCTAACCTTCTCAACTCTGCAACACAGAGCTTCACTCGCAGACAACCCCACAAAGCTCCACCTATGTACTCTTAAGCCCACTCACAAACGCACCACAATCCTTCTACTTACTTCTATAAAACAACCCTAACCACAACAAACACCCCCTAACAACAACACAAATGACCAACTTCTCGAACACTCGACACACTGCAACACACATCCTAACAACACCTAGCTGGGCTAAAAACATACCAACAGCAACGCAAAACTACTCCGACCAAGCATACCCATGGGCATCCACATTCCATCGACACCTCCTACTACATGCACAACCTGCAACGCGTTTGCCCCACAGCTACCCTCCTACAACCAACACAATACATCAGTATTCTACCCTTCCGTGCAACTACACACAACCCGGTCGTATGTCCACCCATTTTACCACCTGCGCCGCCACGCCCTCGTAATTCCATTACATTATTTCTAACGCAGTTCTTATACAACAACCCACACGCCCACTAGACACCCTTCACAAACACCGCAGAATAACCCATTTTGCCTAACATTCCGCACACTCCAACACTCATTCTTCCAACGCCTAGCTGGCCAACAAACATTCCGACAAGAAAATGCGTGAATGTCGGCCAACCAAAGCAATATCCCCATGCTCCTCATACACAGCACCTAATATCCGTGCAGCCTGTACCTAGCAACCCAAACACATACCTCCCGCAAACCAACCCAATAGACCACTCCACTAACCTCGCTGCAAACTAACCGTAACACCCATGCCACACAACAATACACCTACCGCATCCCATCTAGCCTTGAAATCAACATTTTCACCTTCCCTCACACAAAACAGCCCATGCTACGCACTTTACCTAACCATCCTTGATCCTCAAACACCAAAATGTTAGCAAATACCAAACGCCTACCCATGCTACAATAATATCCAACATCCACACTGCTGCCTATACAACATTCTCTTTGCTAATTGCCAACACGTCGTCTCCTGTTTAGTGAGAACCTCAAACACCACCAAACAAACTTGGCCTGCCCTGTCACGCAATGCCCAACACAATGGAACACACTCATCACTCAACGACCTCGCCGCTGCACGCATCTCAACTGCTCCTCGTCCATGACACAAAATGTCCACACGCACGTCAAAACCCATACTATTTCACTTCACATACCAAGAATATCGACCAACACACCGAAACTTCCCTCCGCCACTCCACAACACGAAATCCCACTTGAGCATATCTCCCCATTTTCCCAGCTGTTCTCCCGCGCAGTGACAATTCCTCTACAATCCTTCCAACGCATGCCATCAGATACAATATGCCACACCCACAGCAAACACGCCTCAACAACATAATACAAACACCAACTTGCCTAACACTCCACACCCTGAGAAAAACAACCTTCCAACACCTACCTTTGCAACACACAACGACAGCAACAATCAAGCGCTGTAACGACGTGCAGGCTTATACACCCGTACGACAAACACATCTAGTATGCGCTCAAGTTGAGAATCGTAAGCTCCACACCTACCTTCCCCCCACCAACCCAATATCGAACCCCACTAGTCTACCTCCCAGTTAACCCACATCCAACTAAAGCACGTGCGCGAACGTGTCCAAACAAAGAAACCCGCAAACCACGAAGAACCATCATTCAACAAAGCAACACAAAACGTTAACCTGCCTAGCATTCCGCAGTGATACACAGCTCCATCCAACACGTAGCTGGGAAACACTCCAGCAAGAGCCTCCATCTACTGCAACCAGGCACACCCGTACCCAGAGTTGCATCTCGTTAGCCTCAACATCACCAATCCAATGATCCACCCCTCCAACCGCCCTCGAAAATTGCCTCAACTCGGGGGGCGCATGCCCCAAGCATGTCACACCAAAATACACCCCAAACAATACACACCTAACAACCACCTAATCTTACGGCGCCGTTCTCCACCTCCCCTCACACAAACGTACCCATGCGTGCCGTCCTGCCCAGAGCACCTACACCTTAAAAACATGGAACAGTGTCAAATAGCAAACTACCATCCATGCCAACACCATATCTAATTGCCATCTTCTACACACACAGACACACACAGTACACTATCTCCATAGCATTCCTTCTGCACCGCAAAACACACTGTTGCCTGCTTAGCGAGAACGGCAGACACATCCTAACACAATCCTCTGCGCATACCTCCCACAGCCAACACAATACAACACAACACAGGCCTCATTCTATTGCCGTCGCACTACTGGCCCCCAACCTATGGCATCGCCCCAACTACAATTACCCACGTCCACACACACCACGCACAAACAAATGTCTGCTCTCCACAAACTTGTCAGATTAGCAAACACATCCATGCTCCCCTTCACTACTCCACACCACCCTACCCCCACTCCCGCATACCTCCACCCATTCTAACAATCGACCTCTCTCAGACTCACAACTGAGCTAACCTGCTCCTAACCCACTCCCGTCTACACCGAAACCCACACGCGCAACAACTAGCAATCAACTGCAAGACACAAAACGCCAACCTGCCTACCATTCCCCATCGTTATACACAACACTATCCAATACGCAGTTGGTTGGCCAACAAACATTCCACCAACAACCAGCATCTACTGCAACCAAACACACACATACCCAATCATACACCTTATAAAACACCTACTAGCTGGGCGATGTGCACGTCGTAACCACCAAAGACACCTTCCCATTACCAACCCTGTGCTTCACTGCTCTATGTTCCCTTGCAGGTAACCTCAACTCGGGGAGCTCATGCACAAAGCATGCCACACCAAAAGACGCCTTACCAAAACAAAATTCCTACCTGTCTAATCTTATAGCGCCAATCGCCACCTCGCCTCGCATAAAGGCATCCATGCCCGCCACTTTCCCAAGCTCAGCTGCACCTCAGAAAAATGGAAAAATACCAAATTCACAAACTATCACCAATGCCTACACAATATCCACTCGCCATCATATACGCACACACAGACACAAACGCAGTGCCACGTCTCTATCCCATTCTTTCCGCTTCGACAAATACACTGTTGCCTGCTTTGTGAGAAACGCAGACACAACCTCATACAATCCGCCTCCTATTTAACCCCATAATGCAACACAACACAGACCTCACTACACTGCCTTACCGCTACAGGCGCTCCAACTACGCCATTCCCCCAACCCAACTGCAATCACCCACATCCACACAGAAACTAACATCTGATCTCCGCAAAATCGTGACGTTAGCCAACACATAAATGCTACCCTTCGCCACTCCACACAACCCTACCCCCACTCCCACATACTTCCACCCATTGTAACAAGCGACCCTAGCAGACTCCTACCTCAACTGCACTCCTCCACAAGCACGCCCATCTAAAACGAAACCCACACGGGCAACAACTAGCAGCCAACAGCAAGACACAAAACGCCAACCTGCCTACCATTCCCCATCGTCATACACAACTCCATCCAACACGCAGTTGGCCAATAAACGTTTCGCCAACGACCAGCATCTACTGCAGCCAAACACACACATACCTAATCATACACCATGTGACACACCTACCATCTGGCCGATGTGCAAGTCGTAGCACCTCAAATGTACCTTCCCATTACTATCCATGTGCTTCACTACTCTGTTCCCTTGCAGGTAACCTCAACTCGGGGAGCGCATGCACAAAGCATGCCACACCAAACGGCGCCTTACCCAAACAAAATTCCTACCTGTCTAATATTGTAGCACCCATCTCCATCTCCCCTCACACACAAGGATAACCATGCCCGCCACGCTGCCAAGTCCGGCTACAGCTTCAAAATTGGAGATGTAATAAACACCAAACTCTCACCAATGCCTACACAATATCCAATCGCCATCATCTACACAAGCAGGCACAAGCACAGTGCCGCATCTCCATCGCATTGCCCTTTGCATCGACAATCAAACTGTTTCTTGCTTAGTACGAACCGCAGGCACAGCCTCATACAATCCGTTTCCTGTGCCATCCCATTACCAATACAACACAAGACAGGCCTCCCTCCACTGCGTCAGCAGTACAGGCGCTCCACCTACGCCACCGCCCCAACCCAACTACAATTTCCCACCTCCACACGCAAACGGGCATCTGTTCTTCTCAAACTCGTGGTATCAGCCAACACATCCATGATCCCCTTCGCCACCCCACAACACGGTAGCCTAACTCCCATATATTTCCCCCCTTTTTGACGGGCAACCGGTCGCAGATTCACAACTGAACTAAACTCTTTCTAACCCACTTCCTTCAGTAACATAACCCACACGCGAAACAACTAGCATTCAGCAACACAACACAAAATGCCAACCTGCCTAACATTCCGCGTACTGATACACAGCTCCATCCAACGCATAGTTATGTAACAAACGTGCCATCAACAACCAGCATCTAGTGCGAACAAGCACTTCCGTGTATACCAACGACGTAGATAAAACACCTACTACCTGGGCGATGTGCAACAGGTTAGCCCCACATGCTCCTTCAAAACACCAGGCCCATGCTGCACATCATTAGCCCCAACTCGAGGAACGCATTCACAAAAGATGCCAGACCAGAAAGCAGCCCAACAAAACACACCTAACAGCCATTCAGTCTTATGGCACCGTTCTCCTCCTCCAGTCACGCAACGACAAACATGCCCGCCTCGCTCCCAAGCTCCGCTGCACCCCAGAAAAATGAATGAGTATCAAATACCAAACTATCATCCATGCCAACGCGATATCCGATCGCCGCCATCTACACAAACACACACACACACACACACACACACACACACACACACACACACACACACACACACACACACACACACACAACAGTGGAGCGTCTAAATCGCATTCATTTCCCTTCGCTAAGCAAACAGTTGCCTGCTTAGTGAGAACCGCAGACACACCCTAATACAATCCGCCTCCTGTGCCACCCCATTACTAATACAACACAACACAGGCCTCCCTCCACTGCGTCAGCACTACAGCCGCTGCACCTACACTACCCCCGAGCGACAATTACCCACCTCCACACACAAACGAACATCTGCTCTCCACAAAATCGTGACGTCAGCCAGCACATCCATGCTCCCCCTCGCCACTCCACACAACCAACCCTACACCCCCTCCCACATACCTCCACCCATTCTAATAATCGACCGCTCGCACACTCATAACTGAACTAAACTGCTCCTAACCCACTCCTGTCTACAACACGACACACACAAGCAACAACTAGCAGTCAACAACACGACACAAAACGACAACCGGCCTACCATTCCCCATCGTCGTACACAACTCCATCCAACACACAGTTGGCCGACAAACATTCCACCAACAACCAGCATCTTCTGCAGCCGAACACAAACATACCCAATCATATACCTTATAGAACACCTACTAGCTGGGCGATGTGCACCTCGTAACCACAAAGGGCACCTTCCCATTACCAACCCGATGCTGCACTGCTCTGCGTTACCTTGCAGGTAACCTCAACTCGGGGAGTGCACGCACAAAACGTGCCACACCAAACGGCAGGCTAGCAAAGCACACATCCAAGCCGTCTAATCATATGACGCCGTTCGCCACCTTCCCGCACACAAAGGCGACCATGGCAGCCACCGTGAGAAACTCCGGTACACCTTAGAATAATGGAAACGTATCGAATACTCGATTCTCACGTATGCCTACACAGTATCTCATAGCAATCAGCTATACAACACACACAGATACAAACGCAGTGCGGCACCTCCATCAAATGCTGTCTGCAGATAAACACACAGGTTCCTGCTTAGTGGGAACATCAAGCACACCCCAACACAATCCGCCTACTGTGCCACACCATAACCAATGCAGCACAACACACACCTCACTACACTGCCTTGGCACTGCTGGCGCTCCACCTACGCCATTGCCCAAACCCAACTGCAATCACCCACATCCACACAGAAACTAACATCTGATCTCCGCAAAATCGTGACATTAGCCAACACATCCATGCTCCCTTTCGCTACTCCACACAACCCTACCCCAACTCCCACATACTTCCACCCATTGCAACAAGCAACCCTCACAGACTCCTACCTCAACTGCACTCCTCCACAAGCACGCCCGTCTACAAAGAAACCCAAACGAGTAACAGCTAGCATTCAACAACACGACACAAAACGCCAACCTGCCTATCATTCCCCATCGTCATACACAACTCCATCCAACATGCAGTTGACAAAGAAACATTCCACCAACAATCAGCATCTACTGCAGCCAAACACAAACATGCCCAATCATACACCTTATAAAACACCTACTAGCTGGGCGATGTGCTATTCGTAACCACCAAAGGTACCTTCCCATTGCCAACATTAGACGTCACTCTGTACTCTTGCAGGTAACCTCAACTCGGGGAGCGCATGCACAAAGCATGCCACACCGAAAGGCACTTCAATGAAAAAAGCACCCCAATCATCTAATCTTATATCCCGGTTGTCACACCGCATACAAACACACCCATTCCCGCCACGTTGCGAAGCCCGGCTGTACCTTAAAAAATGAAAAGGTATTAAATACCCAACTATCACCCACGCCAACACAATATACGATTGCCTTCATCTACGCACACAGATAGATGCACAGTGCCGCAACTCCATCGTATTCATTCTGCACCGCTAGACAAACTGTTTCTTGCTTAGAAGGAACGTCAAGCACTCCCTCATACAATGCGCTTCCTGTGTCACTCCATAACCAATACAACAAACCACAGCCCTGATTCCACTACCTCAGACCTACTGGCCCTCAACCTACACACATTCCCCAACCACAATTGCCTAGACCCACAGACAAACTAACATCTGCTCTCCACAAACTCGTGGTATCAACCAGTACATCCATGCTCCCCTCCGCCACAGCACACCACCCTACCCCCAATGCCACATTCCTCCACCCGTGGCAACAAACAACTGTTCTAAGACTCACAACTGAACTAAACTGCTCCTAACCCACTCCCGTCTACAACGAAACCCACACGAGCAACAACTAGCATTCAACAACACTACGTAAAACACCAACCTGCCTAGTACTCCCCATCGTCGTACACAACTCCATCCAACACGCAGTTTGTCAACAAACATTCCACCAACAAGCAGCACCTACTGCAGCCAAACACACACATACCCATTCCTACACCATATGGAACACCTACTAGCTGGGCGATGTGCACCTCGTAACCGCCAAAGGTACCTTCCCATGGCTAACTCAATGCTTCACTGCTCTGTGTTGCCTTGCAGGTAACCTCAACTAGGGGAGCGCATTCACAAACCACTCCACATCAAAGGGCACCCTAACAAAACACGTCTTCTAGTGATCTTATCTTATTGGGGCGTTCGCCACCTGCCCTCACACAAAGGCACTCATGCACCGCACCCTGCCGACCAGGCCTACGCCTTAGAAAAATGGAGAGTTATGAAATACTCGATTCTATTACGCATGCCCAGACAATCTCCAATCGCTACAATCTAGACACACACAGATACAAACGCAGTGCCGCAACTCCATCAAATGCTGTCTGCATCGATACCCCACAGTTTCCAGCTTAGTGAGAACCGCAAACACACCCTAATTTAGTCCACTTCCCGTGCCACCCCATAACCAATACAGCACACCACAGGCCTCATTCCCCTGCCTTCGCACTGCTGGCACTACACCTACGTCATCGCCCCGCGCCAACTACAATCATCCACGCCCACAGACGAACTAGCATTTGCTCTGCAGAAACTCGTGACATCAGCCAACACATCCACGCTCGCCTTCGCCACACAATCATAACGCCCCCCATGCTTCTACCAATTCTGGCAGGCAACCGCTCGCACGCTCACAACTGAAGTAAAGTCCTCCTAAGCCTATCCGGTCTACAACGAAACCCACACGAGCAACAACTAGAATTCAACAACACGACACAAAACGACAACCTGCCTACCATTCCCCATCGTCATACACAACTCCATCCAAAGCGCAGTTGGCCAACAAACATTCCGCCAACAACCAGCATCTACTGCAGCCAAACGCACACATATCCAATCGTACCCCTTATAAGACACCTACTAGCTGGGCAATGCGCAAGTCGTAACCACCTGATGCACGTTCCCATTACCCACCCAATGCTTCATTGCCCTATGTTCCATTGCAAGTAACCTGAAACCGGGGAGGGCATGCACAAAACATGCCGCACCAAAAGACAACCTAACAAAACACATATCCCAGCCATCTAATGGTATACTCTCATTCTCCACCTGTCTGCGAACAGTCGCACCCATGCCCGCCAGGCAGCAGAGCTCGCCTCCGCCTCAGAAAAGTGGAAACGTATTAAATACTCGATTCCATCACCCATGCCATCTGCAATCGCCACAATCTAGACACACACAGATACAACAACAGTGCCTAATACCCATCGTAGTCTTTCTGTCCCCCCGATAAACAAACTGTTTCTGGCTTAGTAAGAACCTCAAACATACCCAGACACACTCCGCCTCCTGTGCCACACCATAACCAATACAGCACAATACACGCCTCCCTCCACTGCATCAGCACTACAGCCGCTGCACCTGCTCCAACTACAATTACCCACCGCCACACACAAACGAACATCTGCTCTCCACAAACTCGTGACATCAGCCAACACATCCATGCTCGCCTTCGCCACACCACACCACCCAACCCCCAATCCCACATACCTCCAGTCACTGCAGCAACTAGCAGTCACCAACACAAACAACGCAACAACACCAACACAAACACACAACGCCAGCGTGCCTGCCATTCCCCATCATCATAAACAAATGCTTCCAACACGCAGTTGGCCAACAAACATTCCACCAACAACCAGCATCTACTGCAGCCAAACATAAACATACCCAATCATACAGCATATGAAACACCTACTATCTGGCCGATGTGCAACTCGTAACCACCAAAGGTACCTTCCCCTTACCCACCCAAAGCTTCACTGCTCTTTGTTCCCTTGAAAGTAACATCAACTCGGGGAGCGCATTCACAAAACATGCCACACCAAAAGGCACCCTAACAAACCACACATCCCAGCCATCTAACCTCATGACGCCGTTCTCCACCTCCCCTCACACAACGACAACCATGCCCGCCACGCTGCCAGGTCTGACTACACATTAAAGAAACGGATAAGTGATCAAATACTCGATTCTATCACCCATGCCAAGACAATCTCCAATCGCCACAAGCTAGACACACACATATACAAGCGCAGTGCCGCATCTCCATCAAATGCTGTCTGTATCGATAACCCACAGTTTCTTGCTTACTGAGAACCTCAAACACACCCTAACACACGCCGCCTCCTGTGCAACCCCATAACCAATACAGCACACCACAGGCCTCACTACAGTGCCTTGGCACTGCTGGTGCTCCACCTAAGACACCGCCCCACCCCAACTACAATTACCCACGTCCACACATAACACACACAAACTAACATCTGTTCTCCACAAACTCGTGACATTAGCCAACACATCCACGCTCCCCCTCGCCACTCCACACAACCCTACACCCACTCCCACATACCTCCACCCATTCTACCAATCGACCGCTCGCACACTCACAACTGAACTAAACTGCTCATAACCCACTCCCGTCTACAACGAAACCCGCACGTGCAGCAACTGGCAGTCAACAACACGACACAAAACGACAACCTGCCTACCATTCCCCATCGTCATACACAACTCCATCCAACACGCAGTTTGCCAACAAACATTCCACCAACAACCAGCACCTTCTGCAGCCAAACACACACATATCCAATCATACACCATATAAAATACCTACTAACTGGGCGATGTGCACGTCGTAACCATCAAAGGTATCTTCGCATCTCCAACCCAATGCTTCACTGCTCTACGCTCCCCTGCAGGTAACCTCAACTCGCGGAGTGCATGCACGAAACATGTCACACCAAAAGATACCCGAACAAAACACACACCCCTTCCATCTAATCGAATAGCGCCGTTCTACACTTTCACTTACACAAACGCAACCACGCCCACAACGCTGCGAAGCCGGGCTATGGCTCTGAAAAATGGAAGTGTACCAGGCACCAAACTCTCAACAATGCCTATACAATATTCAACCGCCATCGTCTGCACACACAGATAGATATGGAGTCCTGCATCGCTGTCGCATTCCCACCTGCATCGTTAACCGAACTGTTTCCTGCTTAGTAAAAGCCGCAAACACACCCTAACACACGCCGCCTCTGTGTCACGCCATAACCAATACAACACAGCAGAAGCCTCATTTCACTACCCCGGCACTACAGGCGCTGCACCTATGCCATCGCCCCCACCCCAACTACGATTATCCACGTCCACACATAACACACACAAACAAAGGTCTGCTCTGCAGAAACTTGTGAGACTAGCCAACACATCCATGCTCCCACTCGCCACTCCACACAACCCTACATCCACTCCCACATACCTCCAACCATTCTAACAGTCGACCGCTCGCACACTCACAACTGACCTAAACTGCTCCTAACCCACTCCCGTCTACAACACGACACACACAAGCAGCAACTAGCAGTCAACAACACGACACAAAACGACAACCTGCCTACCATTTCCCATCGTCATACACAACTCCATCCAACACACAGTTTGCCAACAAACATTCCACCAACAACCAGCACCTTCTGCAGCCAAACACACACATATCCAATCATACACCATATAAAATACCTACTAACTGGGCGATGTGCACGTCGTAACCATCAAAGGTATCTTCGCATCTCCAACCCAATGCTTCACTGCTCTACGCTCCCCTGCAGGTAACCTCAACTCGCGGAGTGCATGCACGAAACATGTCACACCAAAAGATACCCGAACAAAACACACATCCCACCCATCTAATCGAATAGCGCCGTTCTCCACCTCCCCTCACACACAAGTATAAGCATGCCTGTCACGCTGCCAAGTCCGGCTATAGCTTCAAAATTGGAAATGTAATAAACATCAAACTCTCACCAATGCCTACACAATATCCAATTGCCATCGTCTGCACGCCCAGACACAAGCACAGGGTGCCGCACCTCCAGCGCATTGCCCCCTGCATCGACAATCAAACTGTTTCTTGCGTAGTGGGAACCCCAGACACAACCTAATAATCCACTTCCTGTGCCACCCCATAACCAATACAACACAACACTGGCCTTATTCCACTGCCTTTCTGCAACAGGCGCTCCACCTACGCCATCCCCCCAACCCAACTACAATCACCCACCTCCACACACAAACTAACATCTGCTTTCCACAAACTCCTGACGTCAGCCAACACATCCATGCTCCCCCTCGCCACTCCACACCACCCTATCCCAACTCCCACTTGCTCCCACCCATTCTAACAGGCAGCCGCTCGCACTCACAACTGAACTAAACTGCTCCTAACCCACTCCCGTCTACAACACGACACACACAAGCAACAACTTGCAGTCAACAACACGACACAAAACGACAACCTGCCTACCATTTCCCATCGTCATACACAAATCCATCCAACACGCAGTTTGCCAACAAACATTCCACCAACAACCAGCATCTTCTGCAGCCAAACGCACACATACCCAATCATACACCACATGAAACACCTACTGTCTGGCCGATGTACAACTCGTAGCCACCCTAGTATACCTTCCCCCTCCCCACCCAATGCTTCACTGCTCTATGTTCCCCTGCAGGTGACCGCAACTGGGGGAGCCCATGCACAAAACATGCCACACCAAAAGGCACCATAACAAAACACACATCCCAGCCATCTAACCTGATAGCGTCGTTCTCCACCTCCCCGCACACAAAGACAAACATGGCCGCCATGCTCCCGAGCTTAGCTACATCTCAGAAAAGTGGAAAAGTATCAAATGCCAAACTATCACGAATGACTACACAATATCCAATCGATATCATCTACGCACACAGATACAAGCGCAGAGCCGCACCTCCATCCCATTCCCTCTGCACCGATAAACAAACTGTTTCCTGCTTAGTGAGAATCTCAAACAAACCCTAACACAATCCGCCTCCTGTGTCACACCATAACCAATACAACACAACACAGGCCTCATTCTCCTGCCTTCGCACTGCTGTCGCTGCACCTACTCCATCCCGCAACTACAATTACCGACGTCCACAAATAAACTAACATCTGCTCTCCGCAAACTCGTGATATCAGCCAACACACCTATGCACCCTTTCGCCACTCCACATCACCCTATCCCCACTCCCACATACATTCACCCTTTATGAGAGGCAATCTCCAGCAGACTCATAGCTCCACTACACTGCTTCTAACGCACTCCCCTCTATGCCAAAAACCATGCGCGCAAGAACTAGCATTTAACAACCAAACACAAAGCACCAAACTACCAAGCATTCAGCATCATGGTACACCGCTCCATCCAACACACGTAGTTGGCCAGCATACATTCCACCAACAACAAGCATCTACTGCGAACAAGCACTCCCGTCCCCACCTACGGCCTTTATGGAACACCTTCGCCCAGGACGATGTGAAGATGATTAGCCCCGCATGCTCCTTCCCATTGCCAACACAATGCTGCACCCATCTAACCTCTCTCACAGATGACCTCAACTGGGGGAGCACACGCGCATAACATGCCACACCAAAAAATACACGAAAAAAGCACACAACCGAGAGATCAACTGCTATAGGCTCACTCTGAACCGCCCCTCACACAAAGACAACCATGCCCGCCACGCTGCCACACTACCTACACCTTAGAAAAATGGAAAAGTAACAAACACCACACTCTCAACCATGAAAATACAATACCCACTCGCCATCATCTACACACCCAGACACACACACAGTGCCGCATCTCTATCCCATTCCTTCTGCATCTACAAGCACACAGTTTCCTGCTTACTGAGAATTTCAAATATACCCTCACACAATACGCCATCGCTGAAATGCCATACCCAACACAACACACAAAAGGCTTCATTCCACGGCCTCGGCACTACAGGCGTTCCACCTACGCCATCCCGCCAGCTGCAATTACCGACGTCCACAAATAAACGAACATCTGCACCTCACAAAATCGTGACGTCAGCCAACACATCCATGCTCCACTTCGCCACACCACACCACCCTATCACAACTCCCACATACTTCCACCCATTGCAACAAGCGACCCTCGCATACTCATACCTCAACTACACTCCTCGAGAAGCACGCCCGTCTGCAACGAGACCCAAACGCGCAACAACTAGCAGTCAATAACAAGGCAAAAAACGGCATCCTGCATACCACTCCTCACAGTCATACACTACTCCATCCAACACTCAGTTGGCCAGCAAACGCTCCAGCAACAACCATCAGCTACTTCAGCCAAACACCCACATATTCAATCACACACCATATGAAAAACCTACTACCTGGCAGATGCGCAGCTCGCAACCACCTCATGTACCTTCGCATGACTAACACAATGCTTCACTGCTCTATGCTCCCCTGCAAGTAGCCACAACTCGGGGAGCGCATGCACAAAGCATGTCACACCCAAAGACACACTAACAAAACAACACAGCCCAGCCATCTAATCTGATTGCGCCGTTCTCTACGTCCACGCAGAAAAAGACACCGACGCCCACCACGCTACGAACCCCTGCCGTACCTTAAAAACTGGAAAAGTATTAAATGCCCAACTCACCCATGCCAACGCAATGCCCAATCGGCATCATCTACACACACAGATACAAACACAGTGCCGCGTTTCTATCCCATTCCTTCTACATCAATACACAAACTGTTTCTTGTTTAGTGAGAACCGCAAACGCACTCTCACACAATACGCCTCCCGTTCCACCCCATAACCAATACAGAACAAAACATGCCACATTCCACTGTCTCGTTGCTAACGCCGCTGCTGTAATTACCCACATTCACACACAAACGAACATCTGCTCTCCACAAAATCGTAACATCAGCCAACACATCCATGCTCCCCTTCTCCACCCCAAACCAACCTACTCCCACTCCCACATACTTCCACCCATGGTAGCAAGCGCCCCTCTCAGACCTATACCTCAACTGCACTCCTCCAGAAGCACGCCCGTGTATAACGGAACCCACACGCGCAACAACTAGCAGTCAACAACACGACACAAAACGCCAACCTGCCTACCATCCCCATTTCGATAACACAACTCTATCCAACACGTACTTGGCCAACAATCATTCCACCAACAACTACACCAGCCAAACACACACATACCCAATCATACAATATACAAAACACCTACTAGCTGGGCGATGTGCATGATGTAGTCACCAAGTGTACCTACGCAACTGGAATTCAATTCGGCACTGCTCTAGGTTCAATTGAACGTAACCTCAACTCGGGTAGAGCACAAACACAACATGCCACGACAAAAAACGCCCAAACAAAACACACAGGCCAGCCCTCTAGTCGAATAGCGCAGTTATACGCCTGCCCTTCACACACAAATAGGCTTGCCCGTCAGGCGGACAAGTTCGGCTACGCCTTAGGCAAATGGCAACGTAGCAAATACCAAAATCCCACCTATGCTAACACAATATTCAATCAGCCTCATCTACACACAACGATACAAACACAGTGGCACATCTCCATCGCATTCCTTCTGCGCAGCTCAACAAACTATTCCCCGCTTAGCGAGAGTCCCACACACACCCAAACACAATCCGCCTCCTGCGCCACCACACAACCAACACAGCACAACACAAGAATTATTCCACTGCCTCGGCGCTAACGGCGCTGAAACTACTCCATCGCTCTAACTACAATTACCCACCTCTACACACAGACGATTATCTGCTCTCCACAAAGTCGTGACATCAGCCAACACATCCATCCACCCCTGCGCCACTCCACCACGCTACCCCAACTCCCACATACTTCCACCCATTCAAACAAGCGACCGTTCTCAGATTCACAACTGAACTAAATTCCTTCTAACACACATCCTTCAATAACAACGTACACGCGCAACAAATAAAATTCAGCAACACGACGCAAAATACCAACCTGCCTACCGTCCCCCATCGTCATACACAACTCCATCCAACACGCAGTTGGCAAACAAACCACCAACAACCAGCAGCTACTGCAGCCAAACACGCACATACCCAGTCATACACCTTATAAGACACCTACTAGCTGGGCAATGCGCACCCCGTAACCACCAAAGGTACCTTCTCATGACTAACCGAATGCTTCACTGCTCTGTGTTGTCTTGCAAGTAACCTCACCTCGGCGAGCGCATGCACTAAACGTGCAAAGCGCTAACAAAACGAACATCCCACCCGTTGGCCGCTTCCATGCACACAACGCCAAACATGCGCGCAACCCTCCCAAGGTCAACTACACCTTAGAACTTTGGTAAAAGCAACACATACCAAACGTCAACCCATGCCAAAACAATATCCAGTCGCCACTGTCTACGCACACAGATGCAAACACAGTACTGGATGTACATCCCATTCTCTTCGCGTCGCCAAATACACTTTTGCCTGCTTTGCGAGAACCGCAAACGCACCCTCACACTATCCTCCTATTGTACCACCCCATACAGAATACAACACATCCAGGCCTCACTACACTGCCTCGGCACTAGAGGCGCTGCACCTACTCCATCCCTCCAACCAGACTACAATCGCCCACATCCACACACAAACAAACATCTGCTCTCCACAAACTCGCAACACCAGCCAATACATCCATGCTCCCCATCGCCAGTCCACACACCCCTACACCCACTCCCACATTCTGCTACCCCTTCTGGCATGCAACCGCTCGCAGACCAACTGAACGAAACTACTCCTAACCCACATTCTTCAATTCCAAAACCGCTGTGCACTGTCTCCAACGGAATGCACACGCGGAGCAACTAGCATTCAACAACAAGCCACAAACGCCAACCTGCCTACCATTCCCCATCGTCATACACTACTCCGCCCAACACGTAGCGGGGCAAGATTGATTTCACCAACAACCATCAGCTACTGCAGCCAAACACACACATACCCAATCATACAATATACAAAATACCTACTAGCTGGCCGATGTGCAAGTCGTAACCGCCAAAGGTACCCTTCCATTACCAAAGCAATGCTTCACTGCTCTATGGTCCCCTGAAAGTAACCTTAACTCGAGGAACTCATGAACAAAACATGCCATACCACAAGACACCCTAACAAAACACACATCCCACCCATCTAATCTCATCGCACCCTTCTCCATCTTCCAGCAGACAAACACGCCCATGGCCTCCACGCTGCCAAGACCAGCTTCACGTTAGTATCAAATACTAAACTATCACCCATGCCAACACAATATTCAATTACCATCATCTACACACACAGACACAAACACAGTGCCACATGCCAATCGCCTCCCTTCTGCACCGCTATACACGCTTTCCTGCTTCATGAGAACCGCAAGCACACCCTAATATCATCCGCCTCCTGTGCCACCCCATAACCAATACAACACAACACAGGCCTTATTTATTCCACTGCCTTTCTGCTACAGGCGCTCCACCTACGCCATCCCCCCAACCCAACTACAATCACCCACCTCCACACACAAACTAACATCTGCTCTCCACAAACTCGTGACATTAGCCAACACATCCATGCTCCCCCTCGCCACTCCACACCACCCTATCCCAACTCCCACATACCTCCACCCATTCTACCAATCGACCGCTCGCGCACTCACAACTGAACTAAACTGCTCATAACCCACTCTCGTCTACAACGAAACCCGCACGTGCAACAACTAGCAGTCAATAACACGACACAAAACGACAAC